GAGAGAGAGAGAGAGAGAGAGAGAGAGAGAGGGGGGAGGGAGAGAGAAAGCAAGAGTGTGAGAGAGAGAATGTCTGCGGCGCAGAACAGAATTAGTGTGCAAATTGAGAAATGGCGGGTCGCGCGGGCCGCCGTCCCAGCGGAGTGCAAATAACACGGGGCATTACCCGTAGCGGGGCGCGGCGGCGCGGCCGCACTGGACAAACACACACCACACCCACACACGCACTCACATGCACGCACACACGTGCACACACAGACACACATGCACGTTCACGACACGCACAGCTGTGCAGAGAGTTAGGACCCAGTCGTTTTCGACACGGATTCCCCGACCCCTAGTTTGTTCAACCCAACAGGAATACACATTGAATACCATAAAGCAGTGAAATATTAGTTTTATTTACTTTTTGCCGCTGTTTTGAAATAGGAAACAAAAGTAGGGTTTTTACCTTTATTTGATGGTGACCTCTGAACCCAATTTATTTTTCCTCTCATTGGCGTGTAATCCGATGTGCCGTGTCGTCGTGCAGTGGTCATATCGCGAACAGTGGTGGTTTTCGCAAATTAAAGGTACTGGGGTGGCGCGGTGAGGTTCGGTTTTGTCGGGTCTGGTCAGCTCTTCGTTAATTAAGAATCCGCCGTTAGTTCACCTCATGGAGAAAAAGACGTAACTGTAGTGATCAGCTCTACTCGTTTTTATGTGACAACCAGCACCTGATCGTGGCCGTCGGATTCTCGATTTCAGCTATTGAATTTTGAACATAGAGTTGATTTATTTAACTTTTTATTTTGCGTGCGTGCTTCTCTGCACTCTTTTATAAAACCCAGGGCTTAATTTTACAGTGTTGGTACGATCCGCAGACTAAGGAAGTGGTTAGTCTTTTCATTGACTATTATATCATTATCATTTTTGTGTTGTAGGTAGGTGTTGGTACCCTGTTGTCAGAAACACAAGGTAACAGTCCTAATGAATCGCTGCGCTGTTTACCGTGGTGGGGGTAATGGCCAGTTTGCATGTCGCGAAGCAGTCGGGAGGCAACCTGCTACGCAAGGCCATCAGTTACGGTTAGTACCTCGTATCTGCCGGAAAAGTCGCATAATCATTACTTGATTTAATTGGCTGAGCGATAGCGAAGCCTATTACTCCAGTGATGATCAAAAAGTTTCGTGTCTGTCTGTGTGTCTGTTTGTCTGTACGCACGATAACTCGAGAACGAATTGAGCTAGCGACCTGGGATTTTCAGGGTCGTTTTGTATCATAAAAAGACAGATCAAGTTCGAAGTAGAGCATTCTAGCTCAAAAATTGGATTTTTAAAAAATCAAAAACCACAGTTCCCCAAACTGACGTTTTTGAAAATATTTTTTTAATGTTTCCTAAGGGGTAACTCATCAAAGTAGAGCCCTATGGGCGAAAATTTCGTCCGTTTTGCTCTATCTCTGACCGTTGAGGCGCCAGACACGGTTTTCACATGGAAATGACCCCAAACCATTTCAATGTTTTTTCTCAAATATTTCATGGTCTCTGAAGGGTCAACTCGTCAAAATAAAACCCTGGGGAGCAATAATTGTGACTTTTTGTGCCGAAGGCCTATTTACGACTCTTTCTTTTGCCCGACTCGGGTGTCAGCGCCGCAGGCCTAGGTAGATGTATGCCAGGCGCGTCGCAGCGTAACAGTGTTTCGTGAGATATCGCGAAGCCTGTTACGCGAGACGTGGTCTGGCGTACATCTACCTAGTTATTAGAGAGAACAACGAAAACTCTCTGGTGTTTTGCAGTTCTTGATATTTTCCATTTATTCTTTTTAGTGAGCTGCTTGAAAACTTAGAAAATGTTTGCCATTCGACTGAGTGTGTCCTGCACGGGCGTTTACGTCCCAACGTCCTCGCCAAATGGACGACTTACCACCCGCTTTGGGAGCAAAGTGGCGATGGCCCGGGCGCAGCAGCTCAGAACGACGGTCCGATTCCAGGGAGGGGTCCCTTTAACAGACACTCTCGTTCCGAACGGCTCATACGGTTGCGTTTACTGGCGCTCGCGCAGCTCCGCGACGACTGTACTGGAGGGGCGGGGAGGAGGAGGTCAGAGGGCCAAGGTCCGAGCGCTCGCAACAGGTCCCCCGCCCGCCCTTCGCCTCGTGGGAGTAGCAGTGGCTCCCGAGGCAGAGCAGCGTGACTATTACTAGTAGATATGGGTCTTCTTCTGCAGCACACGTGTCGGGGCGCGCCCACACTGTGCACACTAATGTGTTTGTGCAAACACATGCAGAATTTCATACAGCCACAATATTACGCACAATTGTTTGCATAACTATGAACAGTTTTGTGCACACTGTTAAAATTCTACGGAGCCATATGCTTTGCAATTTCGAAGGATTCTGATCCTTGGTAACTACGAAACATTTTTCTTCGCAATTGCAAAGGATTGCTTCGCAATGACAAAGAAAAATGCTTCGTAGTTACAGAGGATCAAAATCCATTGGAATTGCAAAGCATTGCTTCGCAGGATTTTAACAGAGTGCATAATTATGGACAATTCGTACGTAATTATGTGCATAAAATCTGTGCATACTTATGACCTAAACTTCAGTAAACTTCAAGTAAACGTTTTTGCATGTTTATGCACACCACAATGCATAAGCGAGGGGTCTGCAACTCGTATAATCAAAAGTACACGACCCTATAATCACTTATAATCACGTCTATAATCCATAATCTTTTATAATCATTATCTATAATCTATAATCATTCTATAATCTTATAATTTCTTGTAATCTTTTGTATAATCAGTGACATTTTTGTATAAAATAACTTCACAAAGTCAAAATATCACTAGAAATGAAGAAAGAGAACTATCTGGGGAGCTAGGAGCGATGCTGTGGACAAGTCTGACCGAGTGTATGAGATTAGTTCTTTCCCTAATCCACCAAAAGTTTCGAATCTGGTAACCGATTTTGGGTTTTGACTCGAAAATAAAGGGTATTCTTGAAGTATGATCCCACTCCAAATCTTAACTCTGAGTCTCAAACGGTTTAGGAGATATAAATACCCAAAATTTTGAGGCAAAAACAGCGTATTTGAGTGGGGGTATAGGTAACACTCTAATCTTTGCAATAAAAACAAAACTGACTACACCATTGGAAAGAGAATTGAAAACTGATTCTAAACCAAGCTAAAGATTTGATTTTTGTTTCCTACCCTTCGATCAAATATATCAAAAGATTTTAGCAGAATATCGTAACTCTCATAACAAAAATAGAAAGTGTTTAATTGTCACCAAACTTGGTTTGCAACCTCCCCTAAGGTCCCTTAACATTCTCTAATTTTGAAGAAAGAAAATATTCAAATT